TGACAAATTTCCTTTGTGTTTAGCTGGGAATTATTTCTCTTATCATTTATGAAACTTAGTTTTGTAGGATACAAAGTTATTCATTGATGGTTGTTCTGCTTAAGATTAAAAATGGAGCCACAGTCTCTTCTAGCTTGTAAGGTGTCCACCTAGAAATTGGCAATTAGCCTGGTGGGGTTTTTTGGTAGGTTAGCTGTTACTTTATCTTGCAGCTTGCAGAATTTTCTCCTTCATTTTTACTTTAACCAAATTAATAACTATTAATATATGTCTTGGAGATGTACTATTTGCTATGAATCTTCACATCATTCAGTGACTACCATATATCTGGATATCTTAATCTCTGGTGATACCAGGAAATTTTGCCTCAATAATTCCCTTGAATAGGTTTTCCATGCTTTTTACTTTTTCTTCTTCTACCTAAGGAATGCCTCTAATTCTTATATTAGCTCATTTTACATAGTCCCATTTTTCTCCAAGTGATTGTTCATTATTCTTTTTTTGTGTATCTTTGACTGAATGGCTTTGCAAGCTTTGTCTTAAAGCTCTGAAATTCTTTCTTCTGTTTGGTCTAACCTATTGAAGATTTCTGCTGTATTTTGAAATTCCCTAAATGACTCTTTAATTTCTTTAAGTGCTGTTGCATCTTTTCTTATGTTGTCGCATTGGTGACTTTTTTGTTTGGGTTTTTTTTGTTTTTTGCTTCTTTGTATTGCTCTTCAACTTTGTCATCAATCTCATTTACCTTATTTGCCACACATATTCTGAATCCCATTTCTGACATTTTGACAATTTTGTTTTTGTTGGATCCATTGTTGTAGATCTATTGTGATCCTTTGGGAGTGTTGACCTAGCTTGCTTTTTCATATTTCCAGAGATCTTTTACTATTTTCTTCTCATCTAAAAACTTCTTCTCTCGGCTCAGGGAAGATAGGCTTGCAGTGTACCTGTTCTCCTTTGCTGGAACTCTCCTACTTAGTGAGAAGAAGGAGAAGTCCCTACATGGTGCTTTTGTGTCCTGCTCCAGAATATTGACCTGGAAGGAGAAGGGAAGGGGGAGAGAAAGCCTGTAATGCAGCTATTCTGGACTGTTCCATTCCCCGGTGATTGTCACAGTCCAAGCCAGTGCTAGAGGGTCTCTGTGCAGAGTAGTGGGTTGGTACCCATGTTAGTGTTAGAAGCTTGAGCAAGCAGCAGGTTGAGTCCCTCTCTACAGAGGCAAGAATTGTGGGAGATTGTTCTACCTAGGTCTCCCTGTGCAGTGGCATGGCAGCTGGGTGAAGCTATCTAGAATCTGCCTACAGGTGTTGTGGCTGCAGGCATTTATTCCATTAAGGTACAGGTACGATGATGGTATATGGCTACCAGGTCTGTGACAGAGTGTTGGACCATGGGGGTGAGTCCCACCAGACAGGATATAGGGCAGGGCCACAGAGCCAGAGGGCAGCACGCGAGCTACAGGGCCACAGGGCCAGCCACCAGCACAGGAGCCATGGGGCAGGGCCGTGAGACCAGGCCATAGGTAGTTAGGTCTCTCTCCCTGCATGGGTTCCCTCTGAGGCAGTTGTGACAGGGCTTCTAACGCAGCATCAGTAGTGCCTGCTCTGTTTGAATCCCCCATTGTGTGTGTGGGGGCACTTGGCTCCCCATCATGGGGCATGTGGGAATGGAACATCTGTTCTCCCTGCTCCCTCCTTGGTCCAGTGGGGGGCGATGTGGAGGCAATTGGAGCAAAGCCAAACTCTGTGTGCTTGGACCTGGATCCAAGCTCTCTGGACCTGAGAGCGCAGAATGGCATTAGTTACAGTGACTCTGTTGTACCCACTCTTCAGTGCAGTATTACTGCACAGTCTCCCAGCTTACCTGATATGGCTGGAGGTCTGTGGGGTTTGGGGAGCCCTCACAACTTGGATCACAGTGGAGGGGGAGCATGGAGTCCCAGGGTTCCCTCCTCCTGTTCTTCCCCATGTGTGGATACCTCCCCCAAGTACCTTCTGTGTCTCCCTCACCCCCTTCACTCTTAGTGCTTCCCATCACTTCTCTGATAATATACAAGGCCGTCTCCAAGAGGTTCCATGTACAGGTGGGCATCTATTTGCAACTTTTGATCCTTTCCTTTAGGGCAGTATGAGCAGGCTGCTTCTAGTCCACTATCTTGGTCCATACACCTTTGTAAAGAAGTTGAGCCATCTCCCAGGTATATGTGCCAGTACCATCTATCTCACATGATACTTTAAGTTTCACCTCTTTGGTTTTGTTTTTTTTTTTCACCTGAAATCCTATTTCTTTATCTAGTCTTCTGTGGCAATAAGTGCTTGTCATACTGAATTTTAACACTCCTTCAGGCACAGTGCAACTGCTGTACCCTCTGTCTGGAGTTCAGTTGTTGCATCTCCTAGTTTAATATTCTAACTTTTATAGTTTTCTATATACCATCTTTGCTTTTTTGCTTGACTTTCTGGAAGGTGTCCCTTGTCATTATCTTTTAAGCCTCCTACAGATTTTTCATCCCTACTGTCATATTTTTCATTTTCTTTTTTTTTTTTTTTTTTTTTTTTTTTT